TTACTATCCATGTCTTTAAGGTTAACTCAGCTTTGAGGAGTCAGCCCTTCCTTAGTTGTATTTTGAGTGACTTCTGACCTGAGGGGCTCATCTTCTGGTACTATATTGGACAATGATCCAGGCCTATTTATAAATTTTCCAGTAACATATCTGAAACTGTTTCACTGCTATTCATAAGTTTTTCACTTGCCAGTTCTTGAGAGGTAGATTGCCCCTTCCTTTTTCTGAGTCTGTCTTCATCTGGAAGCTGTGGTGTTTGACATACTGGTGGCTTAGACTTCTGCCTCACATCAACACACAAGCCATCACAGTATGAAAAACTGACAGATGAATGAAGGTTTCAAACAGTGAAAATAGTTAAAGATTTTAATCTTAGAGATAAAAGCCACCTTGCTATTTAAAGATTTTTTTGAAAAATAAAATTAGCACAAATAACAAAGTACAATTGTAAAAAGAAAATTTTAATTATTGGACAACGGAAGAGTATTTCCTTAAATAGTCATTGTATATCAGAAAAAATTAAAAGTTCATTCTGTAAAATATATGGAAAATGAAGAAGAAAATAGAGTACCTTGGAAGTCCTAGCCAAGGCAATACTGCAAGAAAGGGAAATGAAAGGCATCTACATTGATAAGGAAGAAGTAAAACTGTTCCTGTTTGCAGACGATATGATCCTATACCTAGAAAACCCAACAGACTCAGAAAGAAAATGACTGGAACTTATTGAAAGATTTAGCCTAGTGGCAGGATACAAAATCAACATACAAAAATCAGTTGGATTCCTCTACACCAGTAAAGACATTTCTGAAAAGGAAATAAAGGAAAGCAATACCATCTACAACAGCTACCAAAAGGATAAGATACCTGGGAAAAACCTTACCAGGAACACAAAAGATCTATACAAAGAAAGCTATAAAACACTACTCAAGAAACTATAAGAGATCTACTAAAATGGAAAAACATACCCTGTTCATGGATAGGAAGATTGAACATCATGAAAATGTCAACACTATCCCTACTCTCCCCACGAAAAAAAAAAAAATCACCACCCAAAAGTATTGATAAATTAAATGTAATCCTGATCCTGATTTCATAAACATTCTTTAAAGACATGGAAAAACCAATCACTCATTTTATATGGAAAGAAAGGATTTGGATAAGTAAAACACTATTTAAAAAGAAGAAATAAAGTCTCACACTTCAGATCTCAAAACTTAGTACAAAAAATGTTTTAGTATTTTGAGTCACTTTCTTCCAATTATTTTTTGTGTGTATAAAATAGTTACTCAAATGTGTATGTAAATATTGTATCAATATTATGCTATTATACTGCACATTCTGTATCTTATCCTCATTTTATTACTGAATGCTTATAATACACCCTGATATCTTATTTCTAGTCCTTTTGTTACACTAGCATAGCTTTTACCCTCATTAATTCAGATCCTCACTCCAGACTCAACACATCAACTCATAAGTGGTATTGTCTGTAAATAGTTCTTTAGTTTGGTAAATGGAAAATACATGTATATTTGAGGAAAACTATTTGGCATGGCCAAAATTTTATTGTCTTCTATCAACAGCTTTAAACACTCTACCAGGAACCTACAACTCTTAATGACACTTTCTATTTTTGTTATATTTTATATGTATGAAAGTAGTGGATTTTGTTTTTTCAAATGTGGTAAGCGTAGTAGTAAAATGTGATTTTGTAGAAAAAAGTCATATCATAGAGGGTTGATTAAGAATGTGGGCTCTAGACTAAAACTGTTGGAGCTGAAATGTGAGCTAGTCCATTAACTAGTTGAGTAATTATGAAGAAGTTACTTAACCTCTGGGTTTCATCATGTGTAACACTCAATTATTCATAAGCATTCATTGATGCACTGTGTAAGTGCTGGGTGTACAGCATTGAACTATACTGGCTAGCGTGTTCTCTGCATAGATCCTACATGCAAGTGGGGAAAACAGAACAGGAAAAGAATAAGTGGAATATATAGAATGTTTGATGGCGAAACTGCTGTGGAAATAAATGAAGCATGGGATAGTGATGGGACAGATTAATTTTAAATAGGACAGTAAAAATAGTCTTAGCACAAAAAGAATGAGAAGATTCATGCAGTTATCTGGGGGGAAGAGAATTTCACCATGAAGAAAACAAGCAGGACATCCCTAGCTAGTGTGGGAACTGATGTGTCCAGGGAGGACAGAAGAGATCAATATGGCTCACAGAAAGTGAGTATGTCAGATAGACTAGAGAGAGAAAGTCCAAGAGGTAAGGAAGGGGCACGAAATTATGTTGTCCTTAAGACTTTAAGGGCATTGGCCTTTACTCTTAGCCTGCTGGGAAATGGTTCAAGGGTTTTGAAGGAAAATGATACTTGGCATTATCACCCTGGCTCCAACGTTGAAATAGGTTTCAAGGGGAGAAGGAGAATAAACAGACAAAGC